CAATACTTGATTACCATAATACCACCTGTGTACTCTATCATCACAACTTCAATACTTGATTACCATAATACCACCTGTGTACTCTATCATCACAATTTCGATACTTGATTATCATAAAACCATCTTCCACTGTTGGGGACAGGGATGACATATTTGTTATCTCCTTGTGACAGGTTTCCACCATGAATTGAATGAATGCATGACATAAATATATGTAATTTGTTCTTATAGCTTTATACAGGTATCCCCCACTTTCAAAAGTTTACTTACACCACTTCACGTAAGTCCTGAAGAGAATTATCATTTTTATGAAAAAAGGCAAAGTTAGGAGTCCAAGTTTGTTTTGCAGCAAGTTACTAAAGATTGGGCAGCGTGGACCCCAGCAGCAAGAGTGGTATCACCAAGCTCTATCCCCAGGATCCACACTCAGCACATCACTATCAAGCCACCATAACTTTGAACTGTGTCTGTGCACAATGTTAGTGGTTTATTTGTCTGTTTTTTATTTTTTAGGTTTTATGTGTTATTTACTATGATCTGGTTGGGCCTGGAAATGCTAAAAAATTATTTTTTATAGAAAGTGAAGGTATGGTAATTGCTTGTTTACACCATTCTGGCTTCTACAAGGTTTTGCATGCACACTGCACTTTTGGGTAGCAGAAGAAACCTGTGTAGACATGAAGGGAAATTCTATTTGTAATGAATCCTTCCCAAGCAGATGAGCAGTAGGTAAAACACCTACATGTGGCTGCTAGGTGGTGTTCATTTAGTGCCCTGGTTCTGAGGTCAGATAGGACAAGTTTAAATCTCAGCTCATTTTGAGGCAGTTACTTTAGCCTCCCTAAGCTTCAATTCCCCTGCCCATATAAAATGGGAAAAGTAATTGTACTGCCTCATAAAGCAGTTTTAAGGATGAGAAAGTGCATACGAAGAAACTTGTACAGTTGCTGGAAGAAAATGTTCAATGAAGAACCATCTTTATAACAAAACATCTCAGGGCTAGAATAAGAAATTCGAGACTGGTTTTCCTGGTTGTGCAATGGGTGACACCTGGTTACTGACCAGAAGGTTGGCACTCCTTGGAAGAAAGATGTGACTGTGTGCTTCTGTATAGGTTACAACCTTGGAAACCCTGGGGAGCTGTCCTTCTTCTCTGTCCTCTAGAATTGCTAGGAGTGGGCATCATTTGGGCTGGGGCTTCTACTCTGTTTAGAAAACTGGTCTTTTTGCTTCTACTCTTGTCCCCTTAAAGTTGTATTATTCCCTAACAGCCTGGACGATCTTTATCAATCTTATCTTTAAGACTCATAACTGAAAACGCTCCAGGGCTTTCCACGGTAGTGAAAAAACGTGCTCACCTTTATTTACAAAGCTACATCTGTCCTCTACCTACCCCGCCATTCTCATCACACTACTCAGCCCTTTGCCTACTGGGCATCAGGTGCATACGCCTTTCTGTTCCATATACTCGGCTGCTCACTTCCACCCTATCTTCTCTGCTAGGAATGAGCTTACTGCCATTTTCTGCGGGGTTTGGTTCCTTCAGTCTTTCGGGTCTGTTTTTAAGGTGTCACCCCCTCAGGGCAGACTCAGCAGACACCCAGCCCCGCACTCTGACATCCTCTCTGTGAGAAGCATTTACTGTTTCACCCCATGTCAACCTGCCTCCTGCCATCAGAGGCTTCCTAGCACCGGTCATAGCTAGCACAAGGTCAGGGTTTGTTGAGTGAAAGGATGGCAATTTGCAGGCTACCGCGCCCGAGTCCACCTCCTTACCTGTGCCAGAACTCCCGAGAGGGCCACACTGTTCCCCAACCTCGTTCTTTCCTCGCGACTGCCAAGAGCTCCAGGTTCCGGGGATTCCGGTTTGTGAACTCAGGGGCAACAGCTTCGTTATGCACAGGGTCCACTTCAGGATTCCTCGCCGGCTGGGAACAGGTTGAGAGGGCCGCACACCCACGCTCTAGGAGATGGAAACCATGAGACTTATCTGAAAGATGACTACCACGAACAGAGCAGACGGGTGGTGTGACCTGTCCCATCTGTTCCCGCATTCCTCCAGCGCAGCAAGAACCACGAAATGTATGTTTGAGCAAATGGTCCTTAACTGATGAACTGTTGCCACCACAATGCTATTAGATCAATTACTTTCCGAGGGTAGATGTTGAGTAAAATATGCGACTTGCACTTTTACATTTATCTTGGAGGTTCTGGGCAAGGTATCTGAGAAAGGGCAGAATAGTTACCGGGGTTCCTGCAGACAGACAACAACGCCCACAACCGCGGCCGAAGCGCCATCGCTGAAGTGTCGGAAAGCGGCTTCTTTCGCGCCTCCCGGGGTCGCAGCGGCCCGCCGGCGCCGCTATACCTATCCTAGAAGAGGCTGGGAGCCGCGGAGGCCATGCCGTTCCCCGCCTCCAGTCACTTTCACCGGAACTAACAGTCCCTGCAGCTGAATGGCCAAGCGAGCCATCCGTCAGATCCATTCCCCCAATCACTGCTTACGTTTAGACGCACGCAGGACTGGAACGGACCAACTATCTTGCAGCAACGCTTTACGGGGGTGGAACGTTGAGTCCACTGCTACCCTTTCAGCTTTGTGGGTGGCTTTGAAGTGCTTACTTAAGGAGGGCGGCAACTCTTCAAGGTGCCCTGTCTTCAAGGTGTCCGTTCAAGACTCTCTAGTCACTAAGTTCTGAGCTACTTTTGGGGGTCCGCACACATCCGATGATTCAATCTATAAAACTGATTTAAAATCCTCAGGCTCAAGGGCTGAGGATGCTGTATTCTTACATGTTAGTAGGCCGGTTCTGAGCCATAGCGACTCTATGTGTGCACAACAGAACAAATCACCGCCAGCCCTGCACCATCTTCATAATTTCCCTATGCTTGGACCCATTGTTGCAGCCACGGTGTCAAGTCATTTATAAAACCATCTTAAAAGCTTGAAGGTAAACAAGCGGCCATCTAGCTCAGAAGCAACAAAGCCCACATGGAAGAACACACCAGTCTGTGTGATCAGGAGGTGCCGAAGGGATCAGTTATCAGGCATCAAAGAACAGAAAATCATATCACTGTGTGCTCACTTCTATGATACAATCGCTGAAGACGAATGGGTGCATAAGCAAAGGTGGCAAAGAAAGCTGGTGGTGCCCGGCTATCAAGAGATATAGCGTCTGGGGTCTTAAAGGCTTTAAGGTAAACAAGTGGCCATCTAGCTCAGAAGCAACAAAGCCCACATGGAAGCACACCAGCCTGTGCGATCACGAGGTGTCCAAGGGATCAGGTATCAGGCATCAATAGAACAAAAAAATCTTACCATAGTGAATGAGGGGAGGGGGGGAGTGTGGAGTGGAGACCCAAAGCCCATTTGTAGGCCACTGGAGATCCCCTTGCAGAGGGGTCTCAGGGAGGAGATGAGCCAGTCAGGGTGCAATGTAGCAACGATGAAAAATACAACTTTACCTAGCAAGTCTGGTTAGACCAGAGGATGTACACTGGTACAGATAGGAACTGGAAACAGGGAATCCAGAGCAGATGATCCCTTCAGGACCAGTGGTGTGAGTGGCAATACTGGGAGCATAGAGGGAGAGTGGGTTGGAAAGGGGGAACCGATTACAAGGATCTACATGTGACCTCCTCCCTGGGGGACGGACAATAGAAAAGTGGGTGAAGGGAGATTTTGGGCAGGGCAAGATATGACAAAATAATAATTTATAAATTATCAGGGGCTCATAAGGGAGGAGGGAGCGGGGAGGGAGGGGGAAAATGAGGAGCTGATGCCAGGGGCTTAAGTGGAAAACAAATGTTTTGAGAATGATGAGGGTAATGAATGTACAAATGTGCTTTACTAAATTGATGTATGTATGGATTGTGATGAGAATTGTATGAGCCCCTAATAAAACGATTAAAAAAAAGAGGAAAGAAAGAAAAAACCAAACCATTGAAAAAAAGTCCAAAGAAGTCAGCCTTGGGGAATAAAACAGCCATCTGGAGCTGGCTGGCGGCTCCTCTGGGCTAAAGATAAAGCAGTGGCAGTTGGCACGTTTGTTAGATAAAACGAGATGTGCTAGGAGCTTTCGTACATTCTCTCAAGTAAAACACCTCGCAAATGGACCGTGTAGCTGTGCCTGTCTGCCATTACAAGATACAGAAACTTTATATGGCCATTTAGGAAGTGCTGAACCTCTGGTTTCCTGCTTATGGGTGTGTGTGTGTGTGTGTGTATACATATATATAAATGATCAAACTATATACATTATATATAATGATTAAACTCTTCCTCTTCACGCGGTGTGGCTGAATTGGTTTTTTGCGTCGCCCCTAGCAAGACCCCACATTAGGTTAAGGATCCCCAAAAGGCACTGGGAGGAAATCGGACATGGCAAGATAAATCTTTCAGAACGGGGGGTTGTCTTCCTAGAAACAGTTTCTCCCACAGAGCTCAGGAAAGAAAGCATCGGTGGGGACCCGGTCCATCCTCGGGAGCTCCAGCCAATTACCCGGCGCTCCCTGAGCATCTTCGATTGGAAGAAGACGCAGAAATGGTTTAAAGCTAAACCGTGGGGTATGCTCAGATCCAGGGAGAAAAAGTGGCTTCCTAGTTCCTTAAAGTAGGATCCCATACCGGCAGCTCTACCCTGTCCTCTGGGGTCTCTGTGCAAAGGAACGACCCCAGGGCGGCGAGCTTTCTTGGAGTTTGGCTGAGAATCCCAGGCAGGTTTAGAAGAGGACCTGCTCGTCACCACACCCCTCCCCCGCCTCAAACCGCCCCAGACCCCGCCCCGCGGACCCGCTTTTCTAGAAGTCACTGGAACGTCTCAACTCGCATGCGCATCGTGCCCGGGGGTGGGCGGGGGCGACCGCTCGCCCACGCGCCTCCTTTCTCCAGAAGCCCTTGCCCCTGACGTCCGCTCGCCGCGCTTCGCGCCCTTCTCATCCGCACTCTAATTGGGCAAATGTACCGGCACGCCTCTGAGCCCACCCTCTTCTGCTCGTCACTTCCGGCGGCTTCGGGCTTCTCTTCTCCCATCCTGCCCCGCGGTCGTCGGGCTCGGGGAGGGGTCAGCGAGGCCCGCGGTGTTACCCAGCAGCCCCCGCGACGTCGCTCGGCCCGCTCCACGCCGTCGCCGCTGCCGCTGCCTTGTGTAGGGAGGGAGCAGACCCGGTGGCCCGCGGTGTGAGCGGAATTTATCGTGTCTCTCGCCGCGAAGATGGAGGGGCCTTTGTCTGTGTTCGGGGACCGCAGCACCGGGGAGGCGATCCGCTCCCAGAACGGTAAGGGCGGAGAGGCCTGGTCCGCCCCATGGTCACCCTCTTGGCATCTGTTCACCACAAAGAGCCCCCGGAGCCTCGCCGGCCGTTTTCCGCTTCTGGGCGGCGGCGGCGGCGGCGGCGGCGGCGGCGATCCCGGCGCGGAGGGTCTTAGCGCAGCACGTGAGCGCCGCGCCGGCTGGACGTGGAGCCGGGCCGCGCGCCGCCGTCGCCCGGGAGCGGTAGGGGGGCGCGGGGGTTCTCGGGTGCACGGGCGCCGGCGCCGAGGTCTAGATGCAGTGCTGCCCTGTGCTAACTGACCGCTTACCCTTGATAGAACGGGCCGGTGACGGCGCAGTGCAATAAGTAGTAGGTTCTTCTCAAGGTAGGACGGAACGCGATTCGTACCTGAAGCCTGGTTGCTGTTACTGAGCTTCGCTTTGAAAGCCTTTTGTAGATTTTCTAGTACTTGGGCGAATTTTGACATAAAGGCAGCGCATCTTGTCACTCTGTTACTGCATTTTCAGTTCCTGGTAAAGAGCTACTGTAATGGTTTGTGGGTTTTTTGTTAATTGCTTTAAATAAAAAATGTACTTTGCACAGACACGCCCCCAAAACAGGCTTTTAACTTACTGAGGGGAGATTTGTGTAATTGAAATCCTAGAGATTGGAGCTCATTTTAGCTGCCCTGGTGCAGTAGTGGGCTACTAACTTGGCTGCTAACCACAGTGCCAGCAGTTGAAACCACCCGTTTCTGTGTGGGAGGAAGGTGGTGAGGCTTACTGTCCCCTAAAGAGTTGGTCTCAGAAACCCACAGGAGTCGGCAGGGATTCAATGGCAGTGAATTTGGTTGAAATGATTTCCCTTAGAGTAGTAGATTTTTCTAATTTATTTTTCCCCGCCTATTGATTACTTACAGTTATGGCTGCTGCTTCAATTGCCAATATTGTAAAAAGTTCTCTTGGTCCAGTTGGCTTGGATAAAATGCTGGTGGATGATATTGGCGTAAGTACACTCGGCTGTTGTGTGTATGTGACCGTAAAGAAAAGAATAGGGCTTAAACCATAGCTATTTAAATGGTTTCTTACCAGAACCGTGGTATTTGAAGACTAATGATGATGGTGTGCCTGATGGGGTTAGGTTGATTGCAGGATGTGTTTCTGAGAGTGATTTCTGTTGTCTACCTTACAATTTTCTTAGGATGTAACCATTACTAATGATGGTGCGACCATTTTGAAGTTACTGGAGGTAGAACACCCTGCAGCGAAGGTGCTTTGTGAGCTGGCTGATCTTCAAGACAAAGAAGTTGGAGATGGAACTACTTCAGTGGTAGGTCCACTTTGCAAAGTTTGACAATTCATACAGCACAGGAGTTTCTTCCTGTAGTCAGTCCCCCTGCCTTGTCTTTTTTGTTTTCCCATTTGACTACTGCTTCAGATCTTACTAATAGATTGAAGTGGTTATGCTTGTGGGATAGATTAACATTGCCATGATCTGAAGAGGGAGGATTATTTTTTAATGTCCTCCCCCTATATGAAATGGCTGTACATTTATATAAACCTTGCCTTTACAATTGTGTGTGGGAGGTGTTATTTTGTTAAGCATATTTTAGAAGTTGACAATCAAGAATTCCTTATAGAAATGTGAGAAAGTGATTTGCTGTGTGACTAATGAGTGGGAAAATCAGTGAATATCCCGAGGTAATTTAAACTCAAAACATCCAACACACTGAAGTAGAAACACTTGTATGTTGAGTACAGCGATGATTCCAGCCAAAAAGGTGGTGGCACTGGTGGTGTAGGGCATATTTATGGATTAACATTCAGCCTTGAAGGAATGGCTTCTCCTAGATTAATGTAACTGGCCTTTTGTCTTGGTAATTTGTTTTATGACCTGTCGAGCAAATAATAGTTTCCCAAAATTGAAGTCGTTTCGTTTTAATTTTCATAAACTAGTGAAAACCAGTTGGCATCAAGTTGATTCATAGTTGCAGTGACCCGATAGAATATTTAAATATATATACATATACATATATTTAATTTTTTAGGAAGTATATATTCTGAAGGGCATTTATGTGTGGCTGAAGTACTAGTCTTTTGATTTGAATGAGCTAACCATTTGTGCCACCCACAGACATTTAGTATTCTGAAAGAAGAACTGAAGTGAGTCCAAAACCAGATCCTAGAATTGGGTAGAGAATTTGAGTAATCAAACTCTGGATTTAACTTCTGTTGGGTATTTAATTTATGTAATGGGTATATAGTCCTAGTATTGTTCCTGCTGAACTAATTTCTTAGCCAGAACAATATTCTGGCTCCTAATTCTTGGCATTGCGGAGTATGAAACACAGTGTAGAGTTTTATACCCTATCAGTTTTGTTTATTCACCATTGTGGTTAATGTGTGCTTGCTTTAGTGTTGTTTTTACATACGCATAATACATACTAAACATTGTCAGACTTCAGAGCTTTAACTGTTCAATGTTTTCTCAACAGGTTATTATTGCAGCAGAACTTCTAAAAAATGCAGATGAACTAGTCAAACAGAAAATCCATCCCACATCAGTTATTAGTGGCTATCGACTTGCTTGCAAGTAAGATTGTTATTTGATGTAATCATAAAGACATTGCTTTTAAATTTGATGGGAAAGAGCTGAAGTTTTAGTGTTCAGACCAGTATCGTTCCCATGTGACTACCACTTCAACTCTTAATAATAGATTGTAGTGGCTATGCTTGTGGGATAGAGTGATTTTTGCCATGATCTGAAGAGGGAGGTTTATTGTGTCCTCCTCCTATATGAAATGGCTGTACAGAAAATGAAGACTCATTATTTTGGTACTGTGTGCAATTTGATAGACAGTTTTGAAGTGTTGAGCAGTGGGCCTGTTTTCTCACTCGTGCCTTTAACAGGGAAGCTGTGCGTTATATCAGTGAAAACCTCATTATCAACACAGATGAACTTGGAAGAGATTGCCTAATTAATGCTGCTAAGACATCCATGTCCTCCAAAATCATTGGAATGTATCCTTGTGGGTAGTACAATAAAGTAGCCTTTTTCAAAAAGTAAGAGCTTAGGTTTTTATCCTTGGATGATGATTATTGCTATTGCCTTACAGATAATATTGTGTTGAAATTATGGGGGAGGGGTTACAGTGATAAAATTTAATATGTTGATATTCCTGCAGTATTTTGTTAACCTAAATGCTGGTGTGGGGGTTGATTTTTCTTTGATGAATGGAATTGCTAAAAGGGCATCCTTTTGAATTACTCATTCATTTTTATGTATAATTTGTCTATTCCACGTGTTATCATCCTTAAATGTTGGCTTAGAAACGGTGATTTCTTTGCTAATATGGTGGTGGATGCCGTACTTGCTGTTAAATACACAGATGGAAGAGGCCAACCTCGATACCCAATCAATTCTGTTAATATTTTGAAAGCCCATGGAAGAAGTCAAATGGAGAGTCTGCTCATCAGTGGCTATGCTCTGAACTGTGTAGTGGGATCCCAGGGTAAGAGTTGGGCTTGGGTCATGTAATGGGGATGGGGGACCACAGGTTAAATTGAACTTTTTGTGGGCGGTCTACTGTATCTTTACAGATGAACTACCCAAGATGTGTGAGTGAACGGCTCTTAAATGAGACGGCAGAGGGGTGCATTAATCACTTAGTTTCTAGTAATTTAAGCATGCAACTTACAATGAATTACCTTTAACAGCATCTTTCATCCTGTGGCTCATGTAGCACAATTAAAGGCTTAATCTGTTTGTGTGTTATATGTGTATCAGTACTTCTCATTGTTTTGCTGCTAGGTGTTTTATATGAAACGTAGTGTTGTTGGACTTGGCAGTGAGAAAACCTAATGCTGTGTTCAATTTCAGGCATGCCCAAGAGAATCGTTAATGCAAAAATTGCTTGCCTTGACTTCAGCTTGCAAAAAACTAAAATGAAGCTGGGTGTACAGGTGGTTATTACAGACCCAGAAAAACTGGACCAAATCAGACAAAGGTGGGTATAGAAGTTCTTTTTAGCCTTTAAAGGGATTACTTATAAATTATACTTGTGTGTGAAAAGGACTAACCATGACATTAAAACATAGATTCCCAAACTTAGTTGACCTACTGCCCCTTTTCAGAAAGAAAAAAATACTATGATCCTAGATAAAGTACAGCCCTCTGGGACCTTCCAGCGCCCCCACTTGATAATGTAGCCCATGTTGGGAAACACTGCCGTAAACTGAAAAGAATGCTTGCTTTGTTGAATAGACAATGGAGCCAGATAAGAAACAACTCTTCATTACGAAGTTGGTGGTGAAGTTTATATCACAGACATGATCTGGGTTTTTGTGCCATCCATGAAAATGGTTTGGGGGTGAAAATTTGGGCTTATGTGTCTGTTGATCGTGAAGGCCAGGAGTTTGTATCTATCTAAGTACAGTTCTTAGCTTGAGCCAGGGAGGGCTGATGTAACCTATCTTTGCTTTATAGAGAATCCGATATCACAAAGGAGAGAATTCAGAAGATCCTGGCGGCTGGGGCCAATGTTGTTTTAAGTACTGGTGGCATTGATGATATGTGCCTTAAGTACTTTGTGGAGGCTGGTGCAATGGCAGTTCGAAGAGTTTTGAAACGGGACCTTAAGCGCATCGCTAAAGCTTCCGGGGGTATGTGTTCCGCCAGTGGCGCGTGTAATCCTTTATGCCGATACACTTAGTTGGGTGAAGGATCTTTTTACGTTAGGACATTGACACTAAGCAGCTTCATAAAAAATGTTTACGTTTTCTAGTGACATATGCACCATTTTTATTGGGAAAGGCTAATGGAATTTACTGGGAAATTTCATGGAGTTTGTTCACTAAAATTGTCAAGATTCCATTTTATAAGGACAGCTGTGTACCTGAACATGATACCACTTTTAACATAGTGAAGTCTTCATAAGGAAGTTGTCTGAAGGAGCAAGGTTTACCGTTTTTGTAATCATCTTTGTAGCTACTGTTCTATCAACCCTGGCCAATCTGGAAGGTGAGGAAACTTTTGAAGCTGTTATGTTGGGACAAGCTGAAGAGGTGGTACAGGAGAGAATTTGTGACGATGAACTGATTTTAATCAAAAAGTAAGACCTGCTTTCTAAATTTATTAAAAATTTATAAATTGTGTCCCTGGGGGTGGTGATGTAGGTCAGTCTGGACTGCTAACCACAAGTTTGTCAGTTGAAACCAACCAGTAACGTCCTTCTATCAAAAATGAGACTTTCTACCCCCTTAACACAAGGTTTACAGGACACCTCATTTTGATCCATTTCCTTAAAATTACAGGAGCCCTTTACATTAACGATAACAGATGGATATTCAAATTCATTATAAGTCTTTCAAGTTTTTTTATTAACGTGTCCATAGAGATGGTATATTAAAAATGTCCATAAACCTAGTGTTAAAGATTATGAGTTGTGTACTATTAAGTTCTATTCTGCTCTATAGGTTTCTTGAGTTGCAATTAGTTTGATGGCACTAAGGTGTTTTATATAAGGCTTCTGACATTGCCATTTTCCCATTGATTTGCTGCTATTGTCTGTCAGTGATATGAGCAGGTATACGCATGGAATAAAATGAGACCCTTGCAAATTGAGATGAAAATAATAATTTTCTCTCTTCTGCATGGCCTGGACATTGGCTTTGGTATATAGTATGTCTAACTTAACCATATATACTGGATTTAAAAAAAGTTTTACTGGGAATTAGTACATATACATAATTCTATATTTCAGTCACGGCAAGTAGAATTGTACAATTGCTACCACAGTGAGTTTAAATTGTTCACTTTAAAATGGTTTATGTGACATTAATCTCAAATTTGTTGGGTTTTAAAAAAATCATTTGGGGGCTATCATAGTAATCCATACAAATGTTGTATCAAGCACATCTGTACATATGTTGCTATCGTTTTGTAAACATTTTCTTTTTGTTTGAGCCCTTGGTGTGCAGGATTTTTAAAGGGACATTTGCAGTGATATCCAAGTGTTAATTGTAGACTGTTGCTTATTTCTCCACAGCACGAAGGCGCGCACGTCTGCATCCATTATCTTACGTGGGGCAAATGATTTCATGTGCGACGAGATGGAGCGCTCCTTACATGATGCTCTCTGTGTCGTGAAGAGAGTTTTGGAGTCTAAGTCTGTGGTTCCAGGTGGGGGTGCTGTCGAAGCGGCTCTTTCCATATACCTGGAAAACTACGCAACTAGCATGGTAAGCACTGCACTCTCAAGCAGCGTTAGCATTTTCTTAGCCCTTTACTGAGACCTTATTGCTACTGAGGGTTGAGATTCATTTTCCCTTCCTTTTTTCATCAAATTGTCTTTTCACGTAGGGGTCTCGGGAACAGCTCGCAATTGCAGAGTTTGCAAGATCTCTTCTTGTTATTCCTAACACCCTTGCTGTTAATGCCGCCCAAGACTCTACAGACTTGGTTGCAAAGTTAAGAGCTTTTCACAACGAGGCTCAAGTTAACCCAGAACGTAAAAACCTAAAATGGTAAGCATGTTATTTCCAAGTTATTTTCATCAACTGTATATTGTATGTGTTGAGGTGCATGATAGGTGTAACTAATAGAACAAATGAATACCTCTTCAGCTGTGTTGGTGGGTCTTTAACCCAACGCCCAGTTCTGGTGATTCAAGACCTGGTGTGATTCTGTTAGCTTTTAAAGGCTGCTTTGTAAGAGGCTGTTTTATTTTTAACTGCAGGATTGGTCTTGACTTGGTCAATGGAAAACCTCGCGACAACAAGCAAGCAGGGGTGTTTGAACCAACCATAGTTAAAGTCAAGAGTCTGAAATTTGCAACAGAAGCAGCGATCACCATTCTTCGGATTGATGATCTTATTAAATTACACCCAGAGAGTAAAGATGATAAGCACGGAGGTTATGAAGATGCAGTTCACTCAGGAGCCCTTGATGGCTGATGTGCTTTCTTTATTTATAAATTTGTTAGATGCACTGGTCAAGTATTAGGTTCACATTAAAATTATAATGCTGTCATGCCTTGGGTGGTTGTTGGATCTGTTTACACAGGTAGGTGAGGTTAAAAACAAGTTTCATCCTCTCTGAACACACATTGCTATACCCATCCCCCCACCAATGCACAGGGCAGCAACTCCACGCCGCCCACCGGTTCTCTCCAGGGTGTGTAACAGTGTCACAAGAATCCGACAACCAGATGCCCCAAGGGGGTGACCCAAGGCTATGGCCCCACCTTGGATGTTGATCTGTAGGGAAAGAGAACTTATTGGTTAATAGTCCTAAATTATTTCCTTCCACCTCTTTTTTTTTAAAATCATTTTATTTCCTTCCACCTCTTAAGATAAAATCGGACCTTTATCTTAAATCTATAAGTAATTCAGAGTCTGGCATCCATTCCTGACTCTCCTTCCCTCAGAAACTTAATACCTTGTGAATTTAGGAAGTGAGCTAACACAAAGGTTCACTACACCCCCAAGTTAGAGGAACATCAGTATTTAACTGATGGGGGTAAAATAAGTTCCATTTAAAGATGTTTTGCTATCTATAGTCAACTATAGTGTGAAAGTTGTAAGTCGCTCCTGTTTACCTTTTCTGGGCTTAATCCCAGCTCTTTAGCTATTACTACAGAGAAGACTGCAAAGGCTTCATTGACTTCAAAGGTATCAACATCCTCCAGTGACCAGCCAGCTTTCGAGACCTAAAGTAGATGGATGCAGTTATTGTAAAAAAGAACAGTAAACATGGGCGCCTGATTCTCAAAAGATCTATTAAAACTGCAGCTTTAGGTTGTGCAAACAGTCTGGTAATAACTCATTTTGCCTTGGTGACATCAATTTTGAACAAAAGTTTATTTTGTTTTATTAGGGGCTCATACAACTTATCACAATCCATACATCAATTGTGTAAAGCACATTTGTACATTAATTGCCCTCATCTTTCTCAAAACATTTCCTCTCCACTTAAGCCCCTAGCATTAGGTCTTCATTTTCCTCCCCGCTCCCCACTTCCTTGTGACCCCTTGATAAATTTTTTTTTTTTTTTTTAAACAAAAAACAAACCCTTGTGTCGAGGGCTGACTTTCAATAGATCGCAGCGAGGGAGCTGCTCTGCTACGTACGAAACCCCGACCCAGAAGCAGGTCGTCTACGAATGGTTTAGCACCAGGCTCCCCACGAACGTGCGGTGCGTGACGGGCGAGGGGGCGGCCGCCTTTCC